GGGGGGGGAGATTCGAGAGAGAGCGAGAGATAACAAGGAAGATTCGAAAGAGAGCGAGAGATAGCAAGAGAGAGCGTGAGGAAGCGAAAAAGTAAGAGAGAGAAAGAGAGAGCAAGAGAGGGAGCGCAGTGTTATAGCTAATAATTGATTGAATCGATCGCGACGTATCTGAATGACATAATTTCGCGAGAAAATACCTAAATATATAAATAAACACATATTTTTGGATCTACTGCACGTATCAACTTCGTTCTTGTTTCAGTTTAATCAGAAAAATACACGTTTTCTTGTAGTACTTACTTTTTATTATAAATTTGGTTTATTTAAAATGCGTTGTAAAGAATCTGCTGAAAATCTCCTTCGCGTAAATGATACCCGATAGCGTCTCTCATATTTTTTATATAATATACTTGGCGTGAGACGCTATCGCGTCTCCTGATATTATTGAGCTAACATTATAACAACAATGATACTTTGTATTTACTACGAGATTTACATATATACAGGATGTAAAAAAATTAGACCGATAAACTTTGAGGGGAAATAGAGAACATAAAAACAAACATATTTTGTTAATAATGTTTTTCTCTACGGCGCTGTTTTAATACTACAGGAAATACTACAGGATATACAAAATAGGAATTTTATGATTTTAATAAAAAACAAACATATAAGTGGAAAAATTAAATTTATTTCAATTACACATATTTTAATCTGCAAAAAACAATAAACAAAAGAACAGAACAAAAATGCGCAATTGATTAGCTCAATTTATAATAAATGTTCAAGAATTCCTCCAGTTGCTTCAACACAAAGATGACATCGTCGAAACATTGATTGTCACACGTTCGAAGACTGCAGGAATATTCTGAACCTGATATGCTACAGCAGTAATTCGGGCTACCAATTCTGCTTCTGTTTCAATAGGTGTCTCATAAATGAGAGTTTTCATATGCCCCCATAAAAAAAATCAAGCGAAGATAAATCTGGTGACCGGGGAGGCCATGCAATAGGACCTCTTCGGCCTATCCAGCGCTCATTAAATCTTTGGTCCAAGTAATTGCGCACAGTAGCACTAAAATGGGCAGGTGCTTCATCGTGTTGGAACCACATTTGCCTTCTTGTGACAAGTGGCACGTCTTCCATGAGTTCTGGCAAAACTTCCTCGAGAAAAATACGATAAATATTGCCATTCAATCGTAAAGGTAAAATGTACGGCCCGATAAGGAAGTTATTGATAATACCTATACATTGATAATACCCATACATTAACCGTAAATTCTTCTTAATGTGATCGAATAAATGTAGCATGAATATTATCCTCACTCCAAACGTGAGAGTTGTGAGTGTTAAACATATCCTTGTGAAGCTTACTTTGTCAGTTAACAGTATTAAAGAAGAAAATTCGGGATGTGTTTCACACTGCTGCAAATACCAACGCGCAAATTCTAAACGTCGTAGATGGTCTTCAAATTTTAAACTTTGTATACGTTGCCGATGAAATGGATGTAATAATTGTTCATGAAAAACATTCGATACATTCATGTTATTTGTTCCAATGTTAAATGCAATTGTACGTGTACTAGTGTAGCATTATTTTCTATTTCTGCCAAAACTTGCTCTTCAAATCGCAGAGTTCTCACTGAACGTCGTCGTCCTTGTCCATTCGAACTTCTAAAAGAACCATTTTCTCGCAAATGTCGATGAATGGATTCGAAAATGGAATGATGTGGAATGTGACGACCAGGATATCGTCGTTGATATAGTCTCTGTACTGTCCGTCCATTGCAATTAGCTGCTCCATAAGTAAGATGCATGTCTCAATTCAATCCAAGTATATCGCTTCATAATGATAAACAAATCACATCAAATTTATTAAGATATAATTGAAGACTTCTGCTCCATTAAGGAGTTACTACTTGAATACATACTACGTAGACTAAGACCAAAACGAAATATCGTAGAGAAGAATATTAACAAAAAATTTTTATGTTGAAGTCCTCTCCCTCAATACTGTCCTGTTTCCCCTCAATACCGTTTATTAATGAAGCGTACTTCACAAGGGTATTTTGTATTTACTTTCACAATTCTTATCGATGAGGCATTGAAACAAACAGAATCGTTAACCCGAATTTCGATGATGTCATCTTTATGTTGAAGCAAATGGAGGAATTTTTGGACATTTATTATAAATTGAGCTAATCAATTGCGCATTTTTGTTCCGTTCTTTTGTTCATTGTTTGTTAAAGATTAAAATATATATGTATAATTGAAATAAATTTAATTTTTTCACTTATATGTTTGTTTTTTTATTAAAATCATAAAATTCCTATTTTGTATCCTGTAGTATTAAAACGAAGCGTCGTAGAGAAAAACATTATTAACAAAATATGTTTGTTTTTATGTCCTCTATTTCCCCTCAAGTTTGTCGGTCTAATTTTTTTACACCTTGTATATATATATATATATATATATATATATATATATATATATATATATAAGGTGTAGTAAAAAGAAATGCATTATTTTTGCATGAAATTAAAGACTTTATTTAGCATAGTAGAATGATCCGATTTAGGTCAAATATGCACCGTTTTGTTCGATAACTTGTTGCCATTTTGAAGGTAATTCCATTATGCCTCTCTCATAGAAACCCT